TACCTAAGTTTAGCTGTCAATAAGTTACATGGCATCTCAAAGATTAGTCGTCACTTTCGAATCTCGTGATATAGGTAAAAAGCGTTTAATTCAAATCTGGTTATCATATATGATTTTACTCCGTTTCTCGTGTGAATATGCAGTGAAAAAATATTTATTTATATCAAATGGCAGGCGTTTTGATAGCTATCATTAGCCATTTAATTGACTTCAGGCTTCACAGAGGGGAAGGAACGTCAGAGTGAAAAAAAGTCGAGACGGGGTGGGGGTGGGAACAGAAGAGTGTTTCAAAGACGAAGGTAGAAAAAAGGTGAGGTGAGTATTGTGGAATTAGTCGAATATGACACACAGTAGGGTGATGGTAGTTTGAAGTCAGAAGGCAGCTCCCGGTTAATAGACTTTTTGCCGTATGAGTATACGTTGCCCAGGGTGCACCACGTGGAGATAAGTCTATCGCAAATTATTAGCCAAAGCGATAAATGATATCTTCATAGGCTCTTCTACTGATATATATGAGTAGAAGTAACATTTTAAAATATGAAAAAATTCTTCGCATTTTTCTTACGTCAAGTTTTGTTCAATGTGCATTAAATGTACTTTTTATAAAGGGCAAATCCATCAGTTGGGCGATGATTTGAAATAGTGCCTTTTTGTTAATGAATTTAAATGACCATCGAATTGAGGTTGTTAGTTCAAATATGCAGACAGATCTAAGGGTTGGTCTAGAGTTTAATAGATAAATTACGTGTCAAATAGACACGGTAGCCGAGTAGTCATGCTGTGTTGGTTGTTAAGATCCAATACTGTTCTTATTGTATCATTTCTGAAATTAGAGCCGCTCGGCGTTGAAGCAGCACATGAATTTGAAGATTTGCTTATCAGTAAATGGTGTACAAAAGCATGGAAAATGTAGTTTTAATAAGTATTTGCTGAATAAAAAGAGCGGAAGAATGAGGAGTAATGAGTAGGAAATAGGTAAAATAACTTTGTATGCTATTGGTCAGGTGAGTTTAGTGGAAAGTTAGTGAACAGTTGGGTAAGACCATAAAGAATAATCTCCTTTGATAGCGCTCTTTTATATTTTGCTCAAATTGTTATCGTTTCCTTTTCAATTAATTTAAATCTCCCATGTTCCGATTTAACTTAACCTTAAGGTTTTAATGTCGTGGTAGACCCCGGTTTTGGCTTTAATTGACACTGATTTTACCAATTGCTGAAACAGTTTGACTTGACGATATCATCCACTGGACTACTTTAATCGACCGCCGGGCCCACAATTCAAGACTGCAAATGCCCCTCTTTATTTTCGCAATCTCCTGCCTATAACACTTAACGAACCAGCCAGAAAGGCTTAATCAGTCTCATTCTCGTAGGTTTATAGTTGTGCCCCTCATTCGCCTTAGTCTGAATAGCATAAACTACATGTTTCAAGTTTAATGTAGCATAAGGTTAATAGTTATCTGATTTTCTGGTTTTATTTTAATTAAATTTAGAAAGGCGTCTAAGTATGGAAACTAATAAAGCAACTTAAAGGCAATCTGTTTTAACCCTACTTGTGGAACTTGGCAGGATATTGTAATTAACGAATAATACTTTATTAAGTAAATAGACCATTTATAAGTCGCTGTTTGCACCAACTTTGACCTCTCGCGCAGGGCAAATCAAACAATCTTTAAAAGGGGGTCTTTTGGCGTATTATGCAAGTTTTATTTATAAAAATGGCAATATGGATGAGGTAATATAAAATGTTCTATGCTCATTCTAGTTATTATCTTCTGAGCAGCATGTAATAAGAGAGATAGACAATCTCAAGAAGCCTGGTCCACCGAGGACTTTTTTCGCAGCACTGCACTCATCAAGTAAGCCGGAAGTATAGGAAGGGAGTTCTTTGGGGATAGTTCGAGCATGGGTTTATTGGTCCACTGACTTCCCTGAAGTTAGAAAAAAACTGGTATTATGAATGAAAAAGCCTGAAGAACTTGTGCTAAAAATAGCCAATTGTAAGAATGCGTGCAAAATAGCCTGACTGCATCAGAGAAGAACACAAGGTGTGAGTGAATATAGTGTGCTTTAAATATAAACAAATACTGAACCAGTAAATAAGAAATAAATTCAGCATGCATCAAATTGTATGTCAGTGGTGCAACAGCCTATGCAAACGACTGGCTAGGAAAAGTTCACTAGGTTTATGCTCTCTGTTAGTTCTCATCAGGAAGGGCACTTTGGAAAATGAGTTCTGAATAAGAGCGGCTTCAGGATGTCTAGTTCACGTGCTTAAAATTCTTCCCAAAGGAGTTGACCATTTTTCAGCAACAAACTATAAATCTGATTGTGGTCAAGAAGAGATTGACTCAAAAAACAATACTAGTGGTAGTTTGATCAATGCCACAGTAAATTAAGCAGTCATTAGTTTAAGTGCCAAACAATTTTCCAGCTAATTTAGATAATTTAAAAGCATAGTACATTAATATATATAAGTAAAGAAATAATCGAATAAGTGAGAATGTACGTAGTAGTTCCTGATAAATGGAAAATATAACATGAACTGCAGTTAGCAGTTTTAGACAAAAAAGAAATATCGACTACAGGATACCTCTGAATGCATATAAAATGCTTGGAATGACTAATTAAGTAAATATGCATTACCGACTTAGAGTGACTCAAAAATGATCATTGCGGTGGATTTGGTTTAGGAGATAATAGGCAAGTCGAATTCGCATATGCATAAATTAAAATTGTTTTCATTATTACTTACACTCTTACTTGTCTGCTCCCATTTCAAAATAGCATCATCTTCCTTGATTCGTTGGGAAAAGGATATGATTGAGATCCCTCGTCTATTCCTAAAAATAAATAAAGCGCCTTCTTTTGAACATACTACGATTAATGAGTTGCCATAACAAAAACTCCATTTAATTACTTTATTTGTAGGAGGGCTCTAATTGGTGATTCAGTTACTTGAGATCTTGAAGTTAAGAGGAGGTTCAAGGAATTAGTCAATGAGGTCTTTCTTTTTGATTCTGTCGACGGCGGCGAATCAGTTATTGATAACTTTTTTTAAACAAAAATGCTCTTATTACTTTGAGCTTTGGATTGTCTTCGTTCATATATATATTTATCAAAATTACCACTTGATCTGACAAACTGAAAGCGGCTGATGCGTTGTTGGAGGCTTGGGAATTAGACCTTTTGAGCTCTTTCTCCAATTTTAGAGCAATTTTGAGCTCATCTGGTTCCGAACTTCCCTTTGCTTTCCAGTCCTTTTCATTCAAGCTTGCCGCCGATGATCTTGGAGTAGTATTATCGATTGGAGTTGATTTCACCTTAGGTGATAATCGCTCATTCCTACCTGAAGCAGAACCTTAGTGAATGAGCAAGTGATGCACGAATTTATGGCGATTAAAACATTACATACTCTGGGTCAAAACTCCATTTTTCCACTTGAGCGTTTTGTAAATGAACACAATTCCAGAGGCAGTGCCAATGAAGAGATGCGAATCATTGGCTAGTAGTGCTGTAATTCTATCGGGAATTTCATTTTCATCGGAATTCTAAATAGTAGTAGAAAAATAGTTCATGGGTAAATAATATAGAGAATTATTTGAACTCTGCTACAATTTTAAAATGAAATAAATAAGCAAAACTATAAATTTTGTAAGAAAATTTGCTTCAATGATGCTTACACAAGGGCTAATGATAAATATCATAAAGCCTGCCATTTGAAATAAATAAATAAATATGATGTTTATATTAATGCGCAATTAATTCTTTATCCAGTTAGTAAAAATAGGAACAAAAATTTACTGAATACTCAAAATAACTTATTCAGATTATTTATTCATTTTATCCAGAATTACAACTAAAATCATAAAATCCACTTCATTTTATATAATTCCTATCAAAACGCAAATCATATTGCAAAAGTGCTAGGTTGTCAAGTCTAGTAGGGTAAAGGTGGTTTAACAGTTTTCCAAAGTGCCAAGTTTCATCTGGAGTTCATATTCTGGCGACTAAATCGCACCTATCTTCAATTGATAAATTGGTTCATAATGGGAATCTGTTGACCTCAAGCAGGTAGTGCTGTGTCACGTTTATGAACTCGCCTTTGGCATATGGCCCATTAGCTAATAGAGATGATTTCAATAAAATGGAAGTTAATAAATCTGATGAAGCGCTGTCTTACACGGAGACTATACTTGATTTAATGTTCTATAACCATTAATTTACAAATATCATATAAACAAATTAAAGATTGTGGATGAAAATATTTTATAAATTTAACTTACATCAACAACTTTAGACGTGGTATATTTTTCAATATCACAGCAGGAGATTGGTTCAAAGGTGGTTGTTGACCATAATTTGAGTGAAGTTTTACCAACGAGGGAGAGCCAAACACCGTAAGGACTAGGCGCCATGCCGGATATGTTGTCAAGAGGATTATCTGAGATGGTTATTTTGCACAGATGGTCGAATGTTCTGCAGTTATAGAAAAAGGAATGTATACTTCACCGAAAATGAAAGGAGTATGTTTTAAATTAAAGCAATTAAGGCTTACAGCACACTGAATATCTCAACAGAACATCCACAGGCGCACCATGCTTGTTCATCGATAATAACAATTGAGGAGACGGTTGTAAAACCGAGAATTTGACTGAATTGATCCCGGGGAGCAGTATCACCAACTATGTCCTTGAATAAAGATAGTGTCAGTTTAATGTATTTTTCATCAAGATAAGAGCAGACTCGAGATTCTCACCATAATTACACTAAGAGTACCGTTTGCCATTCCAACAAAAACGCAATTGGCAGAACTGGTGCATTGACCCACAGCGATGGCCGTAACGGCACTTGCCATCTTCAACTCCCAAACTATTTCTCTAAATGGATAAGAGGGGTGGATTAATAAATATTTGATTCAAGTTAACGACACCACTAGTTTTGATCTAACTGTTATGACTGCTCATAAAAAATATAAGCAACAATTGACCTAAAACTGCTCCTATGATTTACTTATGTTTTTCCATCCTCCATGTTGATATAACACTTGACAGGCCCGTCAACTAGAAGTGAAATTACCTTAAATACTTCGAGAAAACCAATCTTATCACCATGTCCTTACAGAGTTTTAACATATGTGGAACTCGCTCGACAGATTTCTCCTCCAAAACGCTATTTTGTGCATGCGTGCTGTCATAATACGAAGAAAAGTACATTGCTCAGATAACTCTTTCAGATCTTCAAAGAGGTCCTTGATGAGACAGTCCTGCCACTTATTAGAAAGTCCAGTTGGAATGATTCTGTTTTCAACTTTGAGGGAATCTCCATGTACTTTTCCAAAAAATAGTGCATTAACTGCTTGAGGCGTCAGCTTTCTGAAGGTTGAGTAAATTTCGGAAATCATTATTATGCAATTATAAATTTCGGCTCACAACGGGAAAACACTTTGAAATATTCCATTGTGGAAGAGCAGCTGAAATTAGTAAGTCGGCCAATTGAATAATGTAGATTGGGGGACAGTAATTTATCCATAGTGTAGTTAATGAATTTAAACTTTTCACTTGATTCATATTTCACTTTTATTTTCCTGGAGTGCTGAGAACTTCTTGCCAACGATATCTCTAGCTTATCGATCGGTTATCTGTAGTGGGTTGTGCTGGTGGGAAATTTCCATATATCATCAGCTATTCTTCAGACTATGCAATTTATCATCAACCTCTCTTTACTACTGCGATAAAGTTGAGAAGGAAGATGGATGTGACAAATAAGGTCAGCTTCGTAAAAGGGTGGACTAGAAAAGAAAGATCGGTCTGTAGCCCTAGGTGTAACCTTAGATGGAACGGAAAGCACCTTAAGGCTCGTGGATTTACAGAGGTCATTCAAATTGCTTGGGATTTGTATTAACCAGACTGCAATTGGTCAGTCACTAAGATCACACTGATTGAGTGAATAACCAGCACCGCATTTTCTATATTTGGGCGTAATTCAGACCACTTAATCACGGGTCAAGAGGCAGACGTCGGTAACGAACTGATAGGTAAGGTTGACTACCCCGGAGTGGTGAGAAATGGGAACTTTTACCAGGAATATGATTATGAAAATGTTAATGCTATGATAAATATCGGTAAAGAAAATTATTTGTTTTTTTCGAAATATAAATAAAAATTTCAATTCTAGGAAAAGGCTATTAAGTGACTCAGTAAAATTTAATTATAACGATTGGTGGCACTTACCTAGTTTAGTATTATCTTTCTGATGATAAATTTGCATGATTATAATTTAGCAGACTTGCACAACACAATAAGTGTTTTGGTCAGCATATGAGATGGAGCATTCACTTAATATTAAATACGGTCCAGAACTATCGTCGCTTATTATATGCTTACTCAATATTGAATGCTTCAAACGTAAAAGTATAATAAATATTAGAAAGTGCTAAAAATGTTAGCACATTTTGATCACGTTGAACTAAATATTTACATTAGCGAAAATCCACTTATCGTTTTTCTACGCCTTGGATAAATAGCATATTGTAAAATACATCATTGTTATTCATACGAACCGACAAAAAATTTGAATTTGGTCTTTAAACGTATATATATATGAAACTTACTTAGTTTCAATGCTGAAAGAGTAGAGGTAACCGTTAGCAGAGCCTAGCAGAATATGCTGGTCCTTGATCCATATGGCGCACAAAATTGGCGCTTCAAACTTAAAGTGCATAAAAAGTTGATGAATAAAAAAACAAAGACTTTAATTTACAAGTCTAAAACACTGTAGTACCTTAGTACCTATGGTGTAATACACGTCTTCATCTGTATTACCAAGTTTGACTGAGAATTCATTGCCATCAACACAGCACATAATGAAGCAAGGAGAACCTAAAGCAAAATGAAATCATGCAGCTAATATATACTAAAATGACATTCAGATGTTTGCCTCAGTATGATAGAGTTCATTTTGGTAGTTTAGCTTACTTTCCCACTGTACATTGTAAGTGGTGACTTGAATTATTGATCAATCCGTTTCCCAACACCATATTTAACACAAGCGTTCTCTATAACTCCCTGTTCGAAGATGCTAATAGGAACTGCTCATTAAACTTCCCTAATTTCTGCATTATTTGCACGCGGTTTATTAAAGTGTTGCCCACTTGTTAGTCCTCCTTGGAATCGCCTTTATTCAAAATATTCAATGTCATTTTTCTAAGTTAGCCGTCTGCGCATTCAGACTTCAGCGCACTAGTAATTTAGAAGCAATAAAACGTGTATTATTTAGTTCCACGTTTTTTTGGATAATGATATGGAATTACTAATCATTTTGTGGTGATAAAAGATACTCCTTTAGCTATTATAAGACTTGGGTCCTACTAACAAAATCAAAAACACCCCTAGTTCTAATAGCAAGTTCAGGAAATTTCTCAATAATTTCCATATTTTTTTCACCAATTCATCCACGATATCATGCAGTTAACAGATATTTAAAGCGTAAATAGCTTCGATGTACCTGAGTGAAGTTCATTTCCTTTATTCCTTTCTCTGTGGATTATCCAATATTGAAACATTGTACATTCCATTCTAAAATATGCAATTCCCCACTACTGAATTTATTGAACTATCCGATAGTCAAAAAGATTTCTAATGAACCAAAACTAAGAAAGGAAATATTTTTTCTAAATAAATGAATTGTCTTAAGACTTACAATGGTTCCCTACTTCCTTCTGGATATATGTAACTTGAAAAAAGGAGTAATATTCAATATTCGATTAAAGTTATGATGACCAGAATAACTAAAATGCAGATTAAAAACTGAAATCCGTAATGGTTTCAAATTTAATACTCCACCACAATGAATTGAAAAGTATTCGGAAATGAATTCGACTTATTTAAAAATTTATAAATTTAGTCACTATTTTTTGTCAACATTGATGAAAAATAGGAAAATAAAAGCTCATTACAATAATTTGGCACTCACAGTCGCCTAATGCAGAAGCGCAAGAAATACGAGGTCTTTGCGATGCTCTAAGATCAGTAGTGTTCGTAATTAGCTGAATTAGCAATATAAAGACATTTTTAAATACAGGAATTGTTAAATAACATAAAGTTAAGACTAATCAATTTAACTAAGTTTTTAATAACCGTTACAAATATGAACTTAATTTAAATGAGGTGAATGTTTAAGAGATTAATATCCCATATTCAATACAATACCTCTAAAATATATCATATTTTTTACCTCATTAAGAGTGAGAGTCTGAGCGTCGGAACATTGTCGACGACGTAATTCAAGATCTTGCTTATAAGTTTCCCGCCTCGTTCGGATTTCCTTTCGTTTAATCATTTTAAAACCTCCGAATGCAGTCTACGTGTAACGAAAAAAGTAAAAAAAATAGATGCAATTAATATGTTAGATTCGTGTCTAGTCTGCTTAAAGCTTATTCTCCTTGCAACTCGAATGATGAGTAATAGATAGATCGACCTGCCACACATCCTGTTAATCACTTATTCTTAACGATGATTATTATTTAATTAAGGAAAGATGACTTTATAAAGCAAAAAATAAACCGATTTCCATCTCTTTATAATCCTTCACGTCCTTTGCAACAAATTTAAGCTATCACTTTATTATCTTTTCTTAGATATTTCTCACAGTTTACCTATCTTTCATTAAAACGCAAACCAGTTTATTTCGTTATGTAATCTGCCTTATGTTATTCGCCATTTAATTGAATTCTCAGTTATTTACCGTTTTTTTGACAAGATGTCTACTAATAGACACTGCATACACAGAAGAAACGAAGATTCAAAGTTACAGCAGAGTGGGAATAGTCTTGGGAAAGATTGAGTCGAATTGGGCCCTGAAATTAGGGATAATTGCTTATTCATCCTAGTCCAAAGAGCAAGAGCTAACGATTTTGGAAACATTTCGTAACATTTTTATCGAAACCGATATCAGGAATAAGAAAGACATTCCGATGTACGACATTCATAGCCTCCTTGTCTGTCAAAAGACTGGAAATTCGGCAATGGAAGACTTCACATTTAAATGGGGATTAGGAATCCTAAGCTTAAGACTAACATTTAAAGCACTTTTTTCAGATTTTGAAAGTATATAGGTATTATTCTATTATTGGGACAAGAAGCAGTTTAGCCTTCAGTCTTTAATATTGAAGAGGTGGTTAAATCCGTGGTTTTAAAACCTATGCGCTTTGTTTCAATTCTAGACTGTCTTAAAAGTTTCACTAAAATAAACTGCTAATGCGATTAATTGACCTGTATGTAATTCGCCAACATGATTTTCATAAACTTCATAGTTAGGCATGCATGGATATGGGACGCAAATTTTGTTTGTTGGTGGATCAGTGGTTTCCATGATGGAAGTTTTATTTACTCCAACAGATACGCATCGTATTAGCACAAACTAACAAACTGACCAATGCCAGCGTTTATACCATTAGAGGAAAGCAACAGCAAACAGACAGAAGACTTACCTTCATCAATGCCTCGTGGTCGTACGTATTGCTCACAGTCGTTTTCACACTTTTCCAAAAGGCTAATGTGTCTACTTGCCGGATCAGAACATCCTCTTGACACATTAGTAGGGCAATGGCTACACGGAAAATGACCTTTTCACCTTCCAGTAGAAAAACATCCCATATTCTAAGGAGAGTCTAGAAGAGTACAAAAGAAATGATTTAAGAATAAATTCAGATTCAAACTCTATAAAGGTAAACGGAAATAGTTCCAGAAGAGGATCAGGATTCTACCCGATGAATGAACATTTATAACTTGACTACAGCTTTATATTCTATATAAAAAGCGCGTTTATTGTAAAAGATAAATTTGAAACCTCATTTCAAGGATATTGAGCTTAAGTGACGCAATGAGGTAAAGTGGGATTAACTATTTAGTCAAAAAATTGTATCCATGTTAACCAAAATCAAGTGTATAACAGAGTTAGATAAGAAGTCGTTTTTTCATCTTTTATTCACAGCCAACACTAGCTAAAATAATTCTCATAGAGTAGTTGATTTCTATTAAAGATAGCTCTGGATAGCAATTATAAAACAAAAGGTAAATTACGTTAATTCATTTTGTTATATTATAAAGGATATAGTGGCGCATTAACTATCTTCCATGAGTTGTACTAGGTAAATTTTTGGGAAAAAAATTTTCCTGGCAAAAGTTTTAAGAGGTTGACCGAAGTCCACTTAGGGAACATTGTTTCGAAATAATTCTGAATTTTTGGGCTAAGAATTGTCATAAAACGCATTAATTTCAACAGAACTTAGATTTAACTGAATTTAAACGAGTGGGTTTTAGATTTGTTTACATTCTTTAGAAAAGTTTAATTCAGCAATATTGAGAAACTGCTGGAAACCGGGTCTGCTTTTATGACTAATTTGAAATTTAGGTAGATAATTCAACTTTATTTTCCGACTTGGAACACGAGACTGTTGCAATTTCAAAATGTTGCAAACGGAACAGGACCAAAAGTTAAACAATGGCAACCAAAGTGGAGAGTGCTACAATTCCATACAGTTGTGTATAAAAAGCTAATGTAATGCGGTGATATTTTAACAGTTCTCATGAAATCGCTAGCATTCTCACTTCTATATCTCAACCTTTTGTATTTTATTTCCGGGTTCGCAATCCACGAAGATTTTACCTCACTTAAGTGAGTTTAGTTTAAACCATTATCTCTAATATTTACATTTAAAATGGTGAATTTGCGGAACTTTTCATTTATTAGCCTTTTAATGTCATTTAAGTCCCTATTTAGTCTAAACAAAAATGATAAGAAATCATAGTAGAATTTATGACTCGTTCTCTTGAAATTAAAAATAATTAGATTTTGTTTTTTGTTCCTAAATTTACTATTTTTTTGCATAATAGAGAAGTAAATAATGACAAGGAAATAGATCTCGATTTCAAAAACAAGTTCAAGAGAGAAGTCGTTCCCGAAGAAACTGGCAATTTCCCCGATATTATTGCAAGTGACAGTACGGATGGCCCTACAACTGATCCTTCTACAATGATATTGCATAAGATAACTGCTAATTGGAATGATTCTAGTAACGTAGATCAAAAAACAGCTTCACATACACAAGCTGGATATGAAGAAGAATATACGACCTCAGTTATGACTGACATGGAAACAAATGCTATTCTGACTACAATTTCGACTTCAAATCGTGATGAATTAGAAGATACGATTGACGGTGAATCAACAGATTCCGTCTCTGAAACGTATTTAGAGGGAGAACGGACAAACTCAGAAAACTCGGACCTAACAAGATCTTACACTGCTACTTATTCTGACATTATGGATAGTGCTCCAACAGACCCATTTATCTCTGAAGGCAAATATACCAAAAATGATGAAGTGATAGATTCTGAATTCACGACCATTTCACAACGGACGGAAACAAATAGCAAGACGGATTATTCTACATCGACTATTGCATATGATTCTTCTAAGAATGTATCAGAGGATTCAATAATGGAACAAAATCAAGAGAATACTGAACTACGCTTTAAAGAACATACAGAGCGATGTGAAGATTCAATAACAGACCAAGTAATTAATGAAATTTCAGATAAGGGACAAAAGAGAATAATTGAAGTTGGCAAAGATATCATCTCAACAAATGGCATCGAAACCGAAGCTCCTATAGAGGGAACTACTGACAGTCTCAGGGAATCTGCTTCCTTGACCCGAAACATTAGACATCACTTCAGTATAGTGAGAAGTAATCTAATAAAGGTAGGAAAATTTATTTGAAAGAGGTATTAATTTTATAGGCTGCGGAGTCAGTAGATAACGTAATGGATAGCTTGAGAACAGCTTTGGAAAGTGCTTTTGAGAACCTACTCGACTCCTTTTCCAATTTGAATGAGAAAGATCAGCGAAATGAAATTAAATATGAAGGGTAAGAGATATAAATTTCTTGATAAAATTATTCAACCACAATCAATTCTGATATATTTGAATATTTTTAGACAATTACTTTTGGAAAAGGCATTGGAACGGAAGGTATAGGCAATTACAAAGGATATGGTATTAATATACAAACATTTTTGCGCCGGAATGCTAATTTTGTTTTCATCAAATAAAGTCTAAAATAAGTTTATTCTTTTTTTCTTATTAAAAAGAACAATTCAAAAGCAAAAAATAACTCACTTCTACTGGAACGCTGTTAATGAAAACTGCGATAAACCAGTTGAAAGTGATGGTAGATATATCCACTTCAAGGTTCTGCATTATCTCAGACAGCCGGAGACAGTACTTGTCGATAAGATTTCGCAAAATAATCTGATCTGCTTGGGCAGCTATTAAGCCTTCGTTGAAGTAATTTGGAGGGAAGATGTGTTCAACTATCAACACTAACAACCTAAGTTGAAATTGAAATGAAATGCTATTGACTAAGTATGGTTGTGAGAATTATTTGGTGAACTTAGTATTATAGTTATACCAAGATTAATACACTTATTCATGCTCAACTTGCCGTGAAAGATCACATTTCAAACGCCATTCTGTAGCTTGTTAATTGTATAATTAATTTGTCCTAATGTTTTAAGTAATTACTAGAAATCTTATTAAATCAAAGAAACAGAATGAGTAATATTCTCAAAAAGGTCTTTCGGAGAAATTTTGCAAAATAAATAACCTGAGAGGTATTGCACAATCAATGAATTACCTTTGAACAAGAAATTAAAATTTTGCTATAAAGTGTTTGAAATTTAATAAAAGGCTCGAGCTATTGTACTTAAGACCAATTAATCAAATCATATTTATTATTTATATTGCAATATATAAAAATTTATACAGAAATATTTAATTGTGCAATTTTACCCAAGAAGTGTAGAGTGCGCGCTGTCAACAAGGCTAACCAGAGGAACTTTGCTAGCGCCGGAATTTTTTTGCAAAAGAGCATGTGCCTTCAGGGCCAATCAACAAATAATATTCACCCCAATTGGCGTTACCAACTATGATTGCTTCGATAACCTTTGGAGTAATTTTACACAAGAGGATGTTATTAGAGAGGATTATTAAGCAAACTATTTTTGTGATGATCAGAGTTCAAGCATGGTTGTGAACTGAGCTTCGAGGAAACGATTTATAAAAGTCCATCCAACATCCAAGGTCTATTGTGCCCAAATTATAATGACACATATGATCACCGTTTCAAATGTTGTCCATTGCCATTTGGTCTTTAGAAATAAAAATAAAGTATCTCTAGCCAAACAGAACTTTATTCTGTAAGCACCACAAACCTATTTGTGAATTTGACTCCAACTAAATGTCTCAATTCGGACTACCATATTACGTAATGGTTAATCGGTGGATATTTTGAGTGAATGTGTGTACGCTCACATCGAGTCCGATGTATTGCTAGTTATCAGAAATCGATACTAAAATTATCTTCCAATAAATGCGCTTTTAAAGTTTTATTAATTACGATTACTAGTGCTATTCTGAATTCTAATAGCTATCCTAATAGCATCAATCAGAATTCAGAATAAGCCATTCTTATTTTCAAACATGATTTAGAAGAATTACTAGTTAACAGAGTGAAATGATGAAAGTTATATGTAATACTAAGAAAAATAAACAAAATTTTGTTTTTGCCTAACCGTCGCCGGCACTGTAGATTTAAATTGTTCAAGTGATATTAAACGTCTATTGGACTTACCAAAAGGTCGTTTCCTTGTCTAAAAACAAGGAAGCATTACCTACAATGAAATTCATGCCCTGGCAATATCCGACGGTTGGGTTATGAAGTGTAAAGGCCTGCAAAACTTCTTGTATTTTTTGAATCTACAATAAACGGGAAAATTTGTAAACCGAAATATGCACCTCACATTGCTCATTTAGTCTGCGTAGTGGATCCTCAGGCCCTTGCCATGTTTTTGTACAAAACATCAACTCTATGGGGCAACGTGAACGGAAATAAGAGTGCTCATTCCAGTAAATTTGCTTACATTAATTAAACCAGTATCCTTAAGGAATTTTAAAGTAAATGAATGAGAGAATAAAGTTTGCTTGAAAGCAAAAAAGTTAAATTCATAAAATTATGATAAAATATCTGCTCCATAAAATGAAAAATTTAACGCAAATAAGCCAAATCCATATGCCGACGTCGTCTACTAGAAACGACAAATTCGGGTGACGTCTTATTTTCACCTAAAATGTGCATTTAACCAGTTGATTATCAAGTGGGGCAAGTTAATGGGAAATGGGCATTCTTTTGCTTGGTCGCAGTCAAGCACTGAACAATTTATTTGTTGTTTTCAATAGAGTGTTTAAATATGCTCTCACTAACACCCCATCTGTTTGTTTGAACGAATTTAATGAGTTCCATATTTCTCACTAACCTTTACTCACAATTCATCCAAAGTAGACTTCAAAGACCCGTTTCCTAGCCCAGACTACAGAGAAATACTGATTAAATAGATATTCAAGCGGAATCATCATGATACAACCTCTTTTCTGAGTCAGTTGTTACTGCGAATGGAGGTCTAGGTTTCTACTTAGGCAGACGAATTACGCGGAAAGTAGGAGTTATAAATGCCTGTATTTTCGTAATTAGGTCCCTATTGGCTTCTAACTTAGTTTGAGCTTAAGTGGTTTGACTGAAAATTTGTCGTAAATCAATTGCAATGATATTTTTGCGTTCTATGTCTGGACCTAACAGAAGCATGCTGGCAGGATAATACGGAGCTTACCCCGAATCCCTCCGGGCGTTTGAAAGCAATATGATTCGGGAACGTTCGTAAAACATCGAGGGTAATTTGGTGTTTATAGCATGCCTTTACCTGCATAAAAAACATTTTAAATCGTTTTTTTCTAATTGTAGGGATTAAAAAAGGATTACAAAGAATGATACGAGTGCTTTATTGATCTTTTATATGTCATTCAAGAAGGTTAAGTTTTTCGTTTTCATCATTCTTTCGAATTAAAAATGAGGATGATAAAACATCTAGAGGATTTTAAGAAAAGCTGATTATCGCACATTTAGAAATCAACTTAAGTAAACGTTGTACTTAATGACGGCCTATAAAATGATGTGCTTTTTATCATATGAAAATTAATTGCAGCTTGCCTGACCATCATTCACTCTGTTAACAAGACTTTGGTAGTAATACGGTCCCTTTTCAAGCCGATATTTATCAATAGCCAAATCGATTAGCTTTGTCCAGACCTGTTCTCTCAATGCGCTTGGGATGCCCTGGCGACAAAGATCCTTAAGACGTTTCTAGAAATCATTTAAAACGAATATGTCAGAGAGCCCCACCTATAATGGATAAAAGAGCAGCTCACCTTTGGAATCAAGTTGAAATTTGTTTCTAGAAGCTCATTCCACTGCATGATTTTCTTCTCTTCGTCCGGTAACTGAGCCGAATAGGCACTTAGAAGGCTACTTGCTAAATACAGCATCGTTGGTTCCTCGTCAACAAAGGAATGTCTAAATCCATAAACATCTGTATGCCCCGTACTTGATGTAATTATAAGAAAAAGATTAGTCCATTTAGGACATTCTAATCGAAAGAAATATATCTAAATACTAACGTGTTTGCACTAGGTAGTCTTGGGTCGTCTTTACGAGCATTTTGTAGCAGTCTTCCAAAGCGTTCTTTGTGCTGCAATGGTGAAATAACCTTAGATTAACGCTGATTTACTCAAAGTATGTAAAAATCACACATTTTACCTTAGAACTTATTTGGAAATCGAGATTTTGCTTATTTTCCATTGATCCGTATAACTTATGAACATAGAAACTTTGAAGAAGAGAAGCATAGCCGATTCGTAGATCTTGAAGCTCAACTTCCATATTTTCATTTAATCTAAAATATGATAGCTTGGAGTTTTAGGGTCTTATTGAAATCTTATGAATGCTGTATTTACCGTTGACAAGGTTAATCAACGAAGGGTTGACAGGAACCTCTGCTCCTTAACGAGATCTTTTGCATACGATTCTTTCACACACATGATTGTCAAAAGGGATTTTCGACCATGAATCTCTACATGGTCATGTATATCGAGCCCATATTTTAGTCTTTCCATTTGATTCAACAGCTGACACTCAATTTAACATTTTATCGGTTAATATTTTTAAGATAACCGACGACATAATGCTTTCTAACGACTACTACAGCTTATACTCGAGTTTACTATCTCTCTTCCTCAATGAAAACGGATATTGAAATAATTTTGGTTGG